GGCCCCCCCCTCCCCCCCGAGTGCACAAATTTTTGTGCACCGGGCCTCTAGTATTTTATAATCAGTGGCTCTTATTTATCATAACTTTGATGGTTATGGCACTGAACTAATAATGATTTTCAAGCTTATTCATTCTTCAGCTGGCCCTGATTCCACTGGACTATCTTATTATAGTAAGACTGTCAGTGTAACCCTGGCCAGTTACCTCACAGCTATCCTGAATACCGCTGTAACCTCAGAGCCCAGCTCAGGCTCTGACACAAGCCAGGGAGGGGGTTTGTGGAGGGAGACAAAAAGTGCTTGAGAGAGAGTTATCACTAGATAAAATTGACTTGGTTCAAATCCTAGAATTGCCTTTCCATCTCTGTGACCTTAAGCAAATTACTTAAATACACTTATAAAATCTTTTCATGTTTGTAAATATTACATGGATTAAATGAAGTAATACATGTGTGTAGCAGTGAGTTCTTTATGTAAAAGCTTATTCTCATTATACATTAAAATTCAAAAAGAAAAAAAACCTGGGGATGCTTTAGGTCTAATTACACTCTGTTTTAGACACATGCACTAAGAACTATCTCAGTCTATTCTATCATTAAATGTTCTTTTACCTTAAGTTTAAGGAACCATAAGCAGAGTGATAATGAATTCTGACAAGTATTAAAAAATGATTTTTATAAGTTTTCATAAATACAATGAAGTAAAGTGATGTTTACAAATGTCTATTCTACAGTCATCTCTAAACCGGAATTAGATGTAAACATACTCTAGAAAAATTATCTCCTTAAATTCCTTTATTTTGTTCCTATAATATGATCAGTGATGCTATGATCAAACTTTTGACAAGAATAAAAGACTGTCATGTAAAAAAACAACCAAAAAAAACAACAACAAAAACCTCCTTCTGATAAGAGCTAGAAAAAGAGAAATGTCACCAGTCCAGTCACATTAAAGAAAGAAAAGAAAGTGGAGTCAATGCGAACAATGGCAGTGGATCATGATTTATATTAAAAAGATTTTTCAGCTAATGGAACTATCTGTTTGTTTTCTAGTGAATAATGCTATGCCCTCAGCAGCAGTAGCATCTGTTCTTATATAATATATGAAAGAAGGGGAATTAATTTGTCTTTCAGCATGTGCTATGAAACATATTAATTGTGAACTCAAAGAATAATGAAACATTATTCCAATTGAAGTGAAATCAGATCTAAGCTTATTAATGTGATCCAATGCTGCATTAAATAAAGGCTATTAATAAGAAGAATAAGAACTGAAACATTTTTTAGGGATTAGTTGGGATAAGATTGCTTACACATAATGCCATAAACAAATTACATAGTTAGGAAACAGCATAGACTTTAATATGATAGACTTAGGTTTGAGGTTTATTTCTTTTCTGATCTGGGACAAGATACTTGAACTCTCTACATCAAATCTCCTCTATAAATTGGAATGAATTTTACCTACTAGAGGAGGTCATCTTCTTAAAGTGTTTAGGAACTAACTTTATGTCATATAATGAAGTGTAATTTCCTTTCTTTCATCCTGCTCTTCTATTCTAAAAAGCATATGAGTTTATGAGTAGTTTTTTTCTTTATTATGACAAGTAAACAATTAGACAAAAGACTAAGTTGGACTATACTAAAGTCCTATGCTTCTTTAAAACTTACTTTTAGAGGTCAATGAATATTCTTACAAACAATATTACATAGTAAGCAGCTGATTGCACAAAGGATTTAAATACTTGCATATTTTATCTCTATATGAGCTCTTTATCTTGGGATTTATATCCCCTTTATTTAAGGAATATTTATGAAGCTTGAAAACAAGAAAAAAAACTGAATAATGATCAATCTCTTGTACATTTTCTGTCTCACAGTCCATTCACTGTCCCATCTGCCTGGCTTGTGCTTCCCTTTCACACTTGCAAGACTAATTTCTTCTCCTACTTTCAATTTTTATTCAAAAGCCACTTTCCCGGTGAAGTTTCCACATGCTAATGCATCTAAAATTTCAACCCATGTCCTTCTCTCATTGTTTTTTTTTTTAATACATACTACCATAATATACTACATAATATGTTCACTTATCTTGGAGGAAGATTTCATAGAAAAAAGGGAACCTTGATAAAGGAGAGACACATTTTGAATTACATAAAAATGGATAAGGCAAGTGCTTATATTGAAATAGGATACAATTGAGATTTAGAACCACAGGAAGAGAATTATGATAAGAAAATTCACCAGTCTTGAAATGCAACATAAGAATTATGATTTAATAGGAAGATCTCGAGGATGTTAATGGATGTTTGGTGGTAGTGAGAAATCAAAACACTAAGAACACAAGTTTTACTGCTTACTGAATTTACTATCAGGAGATGAGGTAGACACTTTAAAAGAGAAACTGTTAAAATATGCCAATAACATGGCATCTCTTTAAAAATCCTGTAACACTTCTGGCATTAAACAAATTACTGCTCAACTAAAGGAGAAAAAAAAAACTTAACCTCGCTATCTCATAATTTCTCAATTACTAGTAAATGTTTACAAAATTATTAATCAGAGAGATAGTTACCCAAAAGTTGATTCACTGGATAGAGGCAGACGACAGGGTTAAGTGGAGTTGAATTTAAAGTAGAAAAAGTATTACAAGTTATTATTAATTAGTAGAATTTTTATATCTTTATAATGTTTGCTTTTCTAGGAAACAAGAGAACTGAGAGGTAATGGATACTCAGACAAAAAGCTTTTTTTCTGTCACCTACTCCTCAATATCTAAGTCTCCTCTAAGTCTCCTTTTCTATTTATCCTGTAAATAGTCCCTGAGTGATCTCATGTTTTCAATTATTTTCTGTGCTGAAAATTCCCTAGTCCATAACTCCAAACTAGATCACATTGATGAACTCAAAACTCCTATCTCCCAGGGTATAGGATGTTTGCACATGGCACCTCTATTTCATCATGTCCAAACAAACATCACCCACCCTCTTTATCTTTGAACCTATTTATTTTTCTTCACGTTTTCCTTTTTTTCATCTACATCCATTCAGTTTTGCAACCTAAGAATCCAACAGTCGTCCCTGACCCCCCTCTGTTCCTCAAATTTAATTACTCACTATGTACTGTAAATTCTACACTTTAAATATCGCTGTATCCACTTCTTTATTCCACTGTCACTATGTCACTCCAGGCCACGATCCACTAATGCTTGCACCACTTTACCTTCCACGAGTATCTAGGCCACTCATTTTTATTTAACTTCCACTGCCGCCTCAAGTATTTTTGGTCAAAGCATTTCTTGAAGAAAAGACACACAGAGAAACAATAAATATGTGAGGTGATGGTGATGGTTGTGTTAACTAGATGAGGGGTATTTTTTCACAATGCATACATGTATTAAGTCGCCATGATGTCAACTTTACATCTTAGAATTTTACCCCACTTTCACCTCAATAAAGCTGAAATTTAAAAAGAAACATAAAAAAAGAGATGCTGAATATGATGGAATGATATAACCTCATTAGTAAATCACTTTTATTTCCATATTATTTAGGGCAATGGTGTCATTAAGTCAGAAAAAAAATAATTTACATCATTGAAAGGCCTCAGTTCAATTAAGATCTGAGATATACCAAAACCACTGGTTTCACTATTTTTTTAATTAAGAAGTAATATCTTTAAAATGCATATAAGTGAATCTGGCCCTGACCTAATCGAACCAGGATCTCCTGGTTCATAGGTCTATGCTCAACCATTGAGCTACAGCAGCCAGGCTGGAGAGACAATATTTTTGTTGAAATGTGCAAAGTTGAGATCACCATTAATTTAAAGTATGGATTTATGTCAAAATAAATTATTTTATGTTTTTAATATCTTCATTGGGCATTTTTAAAGGGGTAAAAATGAAATATCTGAAAGAAGCAACTTATAATATTTTGTTTTAATTTGAAGAAGAATGCTTTTTTCTTCCTAAAAACTCTGCTGTGCTATCTTTAAGACTTGAATGCTGTCCTTAATCTCATGGTATTTTCTATTAAATGCACAAGAGTCCCTTAAATTATCTTCATGCTGTCAACAAATTAGATAGGAGGCAATGATTTTTAAAATCAGATTTATTTTCGTGTTTTTAGTTTAATGAAAGGTAAGACTAAAGTTGATTGACAGTGAGGATTTCCTTAAATCACAGAGTCAATGTAAAGATAGGTCTAAGATGAGAACTGAGGTTTTCTGATCCAAAAACAATCTTTCAATCATACTGAGCTTTAATTCTTATACTTAAATACATGATACATTATATCTAGTTCCAATAGATAGCAGGCTGTTATAAATGAAATATTCCAATAACATATAATTTTATGTTATAGGCAACAATATTTAAGCTTTAGAATAGTTTTAATGAATATATATCTTTGTGATAACAAAAATATCTATATCTATATCTATCTCTATCTATATCTAATCTATATCTATATCTATATCTATATCTATATCTATATCTATATCTATATCTATATCTATCTATATGGCTAAGTGACTGACCCTACATCCATCCGACCATCCAACCAACCAGCCAGTACATATGGCATGCACTGGCAATTTAAAAATAAACATTGACTCGCACATGCACAATACATATAAAGCTCTCACTAGCGCCAATCGCACGTGTATGTTTCAATCTGTCATAGTCGACTGTGAATTTGGTTGTTTTTGTTGACATTCTGAAGCTGAAAGAAAGTGGAAATTTTCACACCTATTTCAGTGATGATTCCATCCATTCAAAGGATGATGCCGAAAAGGAAAATTTTCCCATCGAATTTCTTAATAGTATTACTCCTTCAGGAATGCCGTGTTATAAATTAAAATTGAAAGTAGTCTGGGTCATGCCACGGGAACCAGAGTCAAGTCCCCACCCATCCATGTGTGCCTCAAAATCATGCGAGACCCAGACCCGGCTGGCCCCACCCCCATTGGGCTAGACCCAGACCCGCCGGCCCCACCCCCGTCTAGTTCTAGTTCTGCAGGGTGGGGGGTGCGGCCTCAGGTTGCCAGGCCCAGTGCCAGGGCTAGGGGTGTGGCCTGAGGTCCCCCGGCCCAGGCCTCGGCAGGGGGCATGCCTAGAGGTCCCCGTCAAGCCCCG